CTGCTTCTGTCGGAGAAGAAATCTCTGGATCTGCGCTTTCCGGAAGCCGCGTGGTGGGGGCTGTTGGGGGCGTCGGAGGGGGGCGAGGACCCCGTCGACGAGATGGAGTTGGCACGGTGGCGTTGGCACGGCTGGCCGGCACTGCCCCCGCCGGGCGCCGAGCTACTGCTGTTGCTACTGCTGCCGTTGGTGCTGCTGTTATTGTTATTGTTGTTACTGTTGCTGTTGTTGTTGTTGTTGAGGGTTCCGGAACCCACCGTGACCAGGGTCGGCTTCTGGTTCTGGCGGTTCTTCTTCTTCTTCTTGGTCTTGGTCTCGTCGTCGGAATCGGTGGGCGGCGTCCAGTCCAGGTCCTTGCGCAGGTGGCCGCGGTTGCACAGGCACGAGCACGCCCTGTACGCCAGGTCGTAGCCGCGCTTCGTCCACAGGTTCTGCAGGCGCTGCTTCTCCGACCACGAGCGCGCACGCCCGCACGACCGCAGGAAGGCCAGCACGTGGGCCTCCCAGGCGGTGAAGCACTCTCCGTGCATCAGAGTTCCTATTGTACAATGTTCGTTGTTGCACTGCACGCGGACGCAGCCCGTCGGGTTCTCGAGGCTGATGGGCTCGTAGCCGCGGAGGCAGCCGCACGCCAGGGGCACGCAGCAGCGGGCCGTCGTGACCGCGTTGTGCGCCTCGATCACGCCCGGGTCCAGCAAGGGCAGCTCGGCCCCGCCGGCGCCCCCGCCTGTGTTGTGCCGCTGTCGCTGGGGCATCTTCACCATCGGTCCACTGTCTCGGGTGTGGCTCTGGCTGTCACAGGAAAGTGTCTTGTGTCTGTCTGTCTGCTGTTCTGGTTGTCTCGTTCTCTACTCAGCTGCAGAAATGCAGCTGTCCTCCTCCTCCGCCTGCCAGCTCGCCGTGGAGTGTCATCCACTCAACACCTCGCTTCACGTAGGTCACAGTTGCGCTCCGTCCATGTCCCTGTGTCGTCGCCGCGACAGACACTCACTGGCTGGCACTACCGCTGCGTCGCTGGCCGCTGCCACTTCAGGCTTCACAAGTCTCCCATGCTAGCTCTCTCGTCGCATCCGACTTGGCAACTGGACTCGCGGATTCGAGCGCCTCCGTTTTGGTGCCGCGGAGCCCGAGGAGCGACTTGTCCCGCGCGAGACGGGATGAGGCCGTCGCGCAACTCCTATTGGTCGACGCCGACCGAGGGGGGCGGGGCCTGCAGCCGGCGTGCACGCCCATTGGCTGCCGGCAAAGACATAACATTACCACGTGGTTCATTCGATTCCGCGGCCATGAAAACCACCTGACTTCCAGCGACCATTTCTCGATTCCCTCGCATAAATCGCCGCCGTACATGACCCGATTAAAAATGCGTGCGTCGTGAATGATGATGCATAACCGGCGACGCTGGTGGGAATAACGGTCGCGAAATTGGCGTGCGGTAAGTGGTGTGTGCGGTGCAGTTGCGCGCCGGAGCCCAAGCACGGAGGGAGAGGCGAGGAGGAGGTGCACAGTCGCTCGGGCCGGGCGATCTGTGCTACGCTGTTTTGTTGATTTGATGTTGCACTATCCAAAATATTTAGTGTGAAACGCCGCCCTCGTCCGCCCGTGTCGCTCTCCCGCCGGTGATACATGCACGCCCGCCGCTCGCTCTTCGCGCAACCTCACGTACATCTCACGTACATTTCCCTCATTTTCCCTGCCTCGTCCCTCCTCGCATTGACGTGGAAAACTCGCTCGTACGTCGGCCATGCAGCGCGAAGATGTTGGCAGCACTTATCTCTCCCAAGCCATCGCGGAAGTGGCCGCGGGGAAATATGCAAATGAGCGAACGATAGCGGGGACCATTGAGTCTCTCGGACCTTTTTAGTTTGCTGAAGACCACCCTTTCCCCCTCGCCATGGGCTTTATTAACGCGAATCGCAGACTTTAACCTCAGGCTGAACGTAGAGACACATTCAGGATCTAAGACGCTGAAAAATAAGGACACCCACGAAAATGCATCTATTTTCATAAACAAAAGGAGGAAGAGAAGGGAAGAGAGAGAACAAGAAGGGAAGAAAACAAAAACAAATAATAAACATACACATATGAATGGAGAAGCGAGTATGTACTCCCTCACACCGAAGCAGCCATCACGGGTGACCGATATTTTCCGCAACGATTACTCGCTCACTCGGATAGTAACAGCACCTCAACCGAGCGGGCTGAGCACTTGTTTCACTGCGCATCGTTCGCTCCCTTTGCGTTGCGCCCCTCGCTCCCTCTTGCGGGATGGACGTTTTGCACAAGCGCAGTTTAGTCACAGAGGAGGAGGAGGAGGAGGAAAAAGAGGAGGTGGAGTAGAGGAGGAGGAGGAGGAGGAGGAGGAGGAGGAAAAGAGGAGGTGGAGTAGAGGAGGAGGAGGAGGAGGAGGAGGGAAAAGAGTGGTGGAGGAAGAGGAGGAGGGAGAGGAAAAGATGGTGAGGTGGATTAGTGGAGGAGAAGGATGAGATTGGTGGAGGTAGAGGGAGAGGAGGAGGAGGAAAGGGAGGTGTGGATAGGAAGGAGGAAAAGGTGGTGGAAGTGGAGGTAGTGGAAGAGGTGGTGGAGGTAGAGGAGGAGGAGGAAAGGATGGTGGTTGTGGGTGGGTGGAGGAAGAGAAGAAGGTGGTGAAAGGAGCGTGAAAGAGGAGATGACAGTAGTGAGGGAGTAGAAAGAGAAAGAAAGAAAGAGGATGAGGAGAGAGAGAACGCCGATTAGGAGGAAAGAATGGAGGAAGATGGTGGAGAAAAAAGGGAAGAGGTAGGTTGGTGGGTGGGGGGGGGGGGTGGTGATGTAGGTGATGGAGGATGAAGGAGGAAGATGTAGAAAGGGTGGAAGAGGGAGACAGTAACTGGAGATGGTGAAGGATTAGACAGGAAGAAGAGGAAAGAAGGAAGAGAAGCAGATGTGGAAATGACCAAGTGGAAGATGGGGGTGTTGGTGTTGTAGTAAGAGGAGGAGGAGGAGGAGAAAGCAGTAGGAGGAGGAAAAGGAAGGGAGGTAGTAGAGTAGTAGTAGTAGTAGTTAGTAAGTAAGTAGTAGAAAAAAGAAGTAGAAGAAGGTGGTGATGTAGAAGGAGGGGAGAAGAGGAGAGGAGGTGTAGAAAGAAAGAAGGAGGAGGAGAGGAGGAGGAGGTGGTGGTGGTAAGGAGGAGGGAAGAAGAGGGGAGGCGGTGGTGTTAGAAGGAGGAGGGAGAGAGGAGAAGGAGAAGGAGAGGGAGAGAGGAGGAGGCGGTGGTGGTAAAGAGAGGAGGGAGAGAGGAGGGAGGAGGTGGTGTAGACGGAGGAGACTGTACAGGAGGACAAGGAGAAGGTCGTGATGTAAAAGGAGGAGGTGTTAAAACAACAACAACACAGTAAAAAAAGGAAAGAAAGAGTTGTATGAATAAGAAGGATTAGGTAGAAGAAGCTAAAAGCGGGAATAGTTTGAAGAGCATAATAATGATAAGAGGTGTAAGAAGAGAAAATGGGGCATGAAGAGGAAGAGTAAGATGAGGAAAAGGAGGAGGAGGAGGAGTTGGTGGACGAGTAAGAGGAGGAAGAGGAGGTGGAGGAGGACGAGAATTAGGAGGAGGAGGAGGAATAAGATGAGGAAAAGGAGGAGGAATGGCCAGGAGGGGTGGAGGAGGAGGAAGAGGAGTTAGTGGACGAGTAAGAGGAGGAAGAGAAGGAGAAAGAGGAGGAGGAGGACGACGACGACGAGAAAGAGTAGTAGTAGTAGGAAGAGGAGGAGGAGATGGCGGCAGAGTAAGAGGAGAAGGAGGATGAGGAGGAGGAAGAGAAGGAGAAAGCGGAGGAGGAGGACGACGATAACGACGACGACGAGAAGGAGTATAGAGTAGTAGGAAGAGGAGGAGGAGATGGTGCGGAGTAAGTAGAGGAGGAGGAGGAGGAGGAGGAGGAGAAAGAGGAGGAGGAGGAGGAGGGCGACGATAACGACGACCGACGAGAAGGAGTAGTAGTATTAGTAGTAGGAAGAGGAGGAGGAGATGGTGGCGGGAGGAGTAAGAGAGGAGGGAGGAGAGAGGAGGAGGAGGAGGAGGAGGAGGAAAGTAC